AATGCCCATTATGAGCTAGCTAGCTAAATAAATCATGGTGCAGCAATATAAAACAATATGACCATTCATGAATCATGAACAAATGAAGCAGCTTTATATGTTCCAAAAGGCAATCATTTTAGAGATGTATTTGTGAAAAAGCAAGGTATTACAGCTATGTAGACTATACTTTGGGTTTCGCTTTTTAAATGGGACAGTGGAAGGAGCTGGCGGTGTGTGTGTCTATGCATACACTCGTACAGTACAATGTCTGCACAGCTGCACAGAGATGGGGGACAGCAGTGCCTTTGGGCAAAGGATCTGGAATACCAGAATTATTGTTCATTTGGTAGAGTTTGAATTTTTTTATAATCACTCTGTCTATTTAACTCTTTAGTTTTTAAATAGGTAGTGTGTATTGGTATGGTTGAAAACATTTTGATATAAAATATCTAGTCGGAGCCACCACAAGAAAATGATAGCCAGTATCTCCTACGCATGCAGGTGGCACAGTCCTTCTCAAAATGCCAGTGAACAGAGCCGCACGCCATCACCAAGTGGGATGTATCCCAAGAATGCAGGGCTGGTTCAACATTACAGCTGGAGAAACCATCAGTATAATATGCCGTGTCAATAGAACAAAGGAAGAGAATCGCATTATCATCTCTATAGACTACAAAACCCAACACCAGCCCCTCTTCCTTTTTTTTTTAAAATGAAAACCCTAGAGAAGATTAGAATCCAGGGAAATTCCTCAATATGATTCAGGGCACACCGGAAAAGTTAACAGCCAACATTATGCTGAGTGGATAAAGACTGAGAACTTCTTGAACTTGGAACAAGCTAATGGGCCTGCTCCCACTACTATTCAGTTTAGTATTAGCAGTCCTCGTCTGGGCAATAAGACAAGAGGAAAACAATCCAGAGTGAGGGCAGGGGATGAACTTAAATTAGCACAAGATAAATACTACATATAGAAAAACCTCAAACGTCCACAGGAAAACTTCTAGTGCTAATAGAAGAATTTAGTAAAGTTTCAGGGTTTAAGGTCAACAAAAGTCGGATAGGTTTCTACACACTAGCAATGAGAAATCTGAGAAGGAAATTAAGGAAAGAATTCCATTTACAGTGACCTCTAAGGGAATAAAGTGCCTACGAATAAATCGAGCCAGAGATGGGACTCTTACACAGAGAAAATTACAAAACCATGCCAAAAGATTTTAAAGTAGACGTAATAAATGGAAAGATGCTCCATGTCCATGAATTGGAAGACTTGTTGTTTAGATGTCAGTACAACCCAAAGTGATCTTTGTAGACACTCAATGCAATTCTGATAATTCCAACAGCCTTCTTTACAGAAAGAGAAAAACCAGTCCTCACTAAATACCAAACCCAAACCCTCTGCCGGCGAATCAGGTCCAACTCATCGGCACTCTCACAGGGCTTCGGAGACTGCCCTCTATGAGAGTGGACAGCCTCGTCTTTCTTCCGCGTGGAGGCCGGTGCTTTGAGCCGTCCACATATGGCGAGCACCCTCACAGCTAACCCACAGTGCTGCCAGGGCTCCCGACTCGCTGCCGTCAAGTCAAGGCAGTCGCATAGCAACCCTTAGGACAGGTAGCACTGCCCCTGTGAGTTTCCAAGACGGTAACTGTTTACAGGATTAAGAAAGGTGATTTCGCAGGCCTGTCTGGATAGGACAGGCTGGATGAGCAATCTGGAGGAGAAAACAACGGGACTGACAGTTCTGGGGGGACATGGGAGAGGGGGAGGAGGGGGGAAGGGAAGAAGAGGGGATAACAAACCCAGGGACAAGGGAGCGGCAAGCGATCCAAATTGG